GCCAAAGTCCCTAGAGCCCCTGAACCCTAAACTCAGCTCAGTCACCGCAGGGTTCAGGTGACCTCCCGAGATGTTCGCCGCGACGTAGATCCACACGGCCAGGGCAAAACCGTTAACCTCGCGTCGGGGGCTTCTGTAGGGTTTAGGGTTCAGGGTTCACGGTTTAGCCGGTTTGGGGTTTAGGATAGGGTTTGGGGTTGTGGTTTGGTAACTTATAGGGTTTAAGCATAGGGTTTAGGGTCTATGGGGTTTCATTGGGTTTATTTGGGGTCTTTTGGGGTTTGCGGCTTAGGGCTGAGGGTAAATCTTGGGATGTTTCCCCTTATACGAACAGTCCTTAAAGGATTATAATGGGGGGGGTAATATACTTCCTATTCAGGACTGTTAGTTCAGGGAGAACATCCCGGAGATATTTAGGGTTTGGGGTTCAGGGCACTGGCCCGCACAGGCTGAGGGTTTCACATGGGGATGCTGCGGTAGCCATTCGCCCCGTGCCAAAGTAAGACCCCAGTAGACCCAACGGTTTTCGGAACTTGCTTAAACAAGTTGGCTTCAAGGCGCCCTACACTCTCAAAAAGAACACCAGCAAAAACGCGAAACAACGCAAAAGCAACGATATTCAGTAGAAGGTGGTAAGGTACAGACTACAAGAATGAAGAACAGCAAATCAACGGTCCAAGCTGCCACCGCGACGCTTCTCAAACTTGCTGGGTTTGGGATTTGAAGTTTAGGGAATGGAACCCCCCAAAGACCCTGAAAACCCCGAAAGCCCCTAAACCACTAAGGATCCGTCTCCGCCCCAAAAAGGCCCTGAACCCTATAAGCCCTAAGCCCTAAACCCTTATAAACCCTAAACCTTAAACCCTAATTCCTAAACGCTGAACCCTGAACCCTAGTTATAAGCCCTAAGCCCTAAACACTAAACCCTAAACCCTAAGCCCTAAGCCCTAAGCCCTAAGCCCCAAGCCCTAAGCCCTAAACCCTAAGCCCTCGCACAAAAGGACTGCGCGGAGTCTTCGGAGCTGCTGAAACTTCGGCCCAGGCGCAAAGGGAGCCATGGACGGGGAGGACGTACCTCACACAGGTGCCCGTTTAGGGTTTAGGGTTTAGGGTCTACAGGGTTCGGGTCTTCAGAGTTCAGGGTTTGGGAGTTTAAGAGTTTAGGGTGCAGGTGTGTTTTTAGAGTTTTGCGGCTTGAGGGGTTTAGAGCTTTAGGGCTTTAGGGACGCCAGCAGGGGTTTAGAGCTTTAGGGCTTTAGGGACGCCAGGGTTGTAGGACCTTCTGCAAGCCATAGATCCCTAAGCCTCCTCTCTACTTCGGAGTAGACCCTAGAAAAGAAGTATAAACTTTTTAGGTATAAGTAGCTATAATAGGAACCCAGAACCAAAAAAACAACATTAAAGTCTAGTACTCCCAAGAGATCTAGGAATGGCCCCTTTAGACCCTCTGAAAAAAGTCATTTAGGGTTTAGGGTTTGGGGTTAGGGGTTTAGGGTATGAATCTGATCCTCTTACACCCACGAGGAGAAATCCAAAATCTCCCAAGGGCCTACCTAGATAAGCCCTCAATCATGGACCCAAACTGTTTTGAGAGGGCGAAAGGAATTTCGGATTGCAGGGTCAGGCTTCCCACAGTAACCTGGAACCCTGAGCCCCGTAAAAGGTTGGAAGCTGCTAAACGGTTTAGACCGGATTCTACATAAGGTTTCAGCCCCCTAAACCCTAAACCCTGAACCCTGAACCCTGAACCCTGAACCCTAAACCCTAAACCCTAGGCTTCAGGAGGAAGCCGAGGTCGCAACTTTGGGGTTTGGAACTGAAGGATCACAGCGCCGAGGCTCGAGTCGGGGCCCTCTTGGGGGGGGGTTCCCTACCGTAGATGATACTATTACGAGCTTGGGGTATGTATTTTTTTTTTTGGGGGGGGAGGTCTCCTATTTGGGGGAAATGCCAATGAAAAGGGTGAGGGTTAAGACCCTAAAACCTCTGAACTCGAAAAGCCTTAGACCCGAACCCAACACTCTACCAAGCTCCTCAACGCTAGAAGCATCCTAACACCTCTGAACCCTAGAAGCATCCCAACCCTAAAAACCCTCAACCCGAAGACCCCCGAGCCCACGGAAAGTGCGGCTCGGGCGCCTCCGATTATCTGGAAGAACATCACCTCATTCGTTCAAACTCTGAATTAAGGCTCCGGGTTTAGGGTAAGGGGTGTGGTGTTTGGGGGCCTCATTCCCCTCAACTGGGGAATAGGCCGTAAACCATATAGGGATCCCAGGTGCTGAAGTAAGGTCTAGTATGTTTTGTTAAGGGCTTTTTGGGCCCCCTGGGACCCCCAAACTTTCAACCTCCCTCGCACAAACAGACCAAAGATATCAGGGGACGGTTCTAGCGACAAGGACTGGGCTTAGGGACTTTATTGCCTTCTCTCCACCTGCACTCTGGCAGCTAAGGTGCGGAAAAATAGTAGCTAAGCAAGTTGAGGGGTAACCCTTACGCATATATCTACACACACATATGTATATATATATACACCTTATATATATATATATATAAATACACCTTACAAAGTCCCGATGTACCTAAATAAGCCCTAAGGTCCCTTATAAGGGTCCCTCCTTGAGTCCCTCGAGCAAGGCTTGGGATGGAGATGTGCGTTGCTGTCAGGCTTTTTTCAATGAGGAGCACTACCATAAACACCTACAGTTTAGGGTTTAGGGTTTAGGGTTTAGGGTTTAGGGTTTAGGGTTTAGGGTTTAGGGTTTAGGGTTTAGGGTTTAGTAGGGTTGGTTTAGGGTTTAGGGTTTAGGGTTTAGGGTTTAGGTTTAGGGTTTAGGGTTTCGGGTTTAGGGTTTCGGGTTTAGGGGTACCCGTACAAAAAACATGCCGTCTTGTAAAATATGAGGCTTGGGGCGGGTATGCGAAAGAAAGACTGAGTGAACGGTTCCTCAAGTTGAACCCTCTTCCAAGGCCTCCCCCCCCCCCTCCCCCCTCGCGCCCCCCGTCCCTTTATAAGTATACTATAATATCCCCCAAAACCCTATTCTAATTACTCAGCCCACTATGTCAGAGCCTAAACCCAGAGCCTAAACGCTGCGCATCCCCCCCCCCCCCCCCCCCCCCCTCACTGCCCAGGCGCGCCAATGAACTCGATGGACACCGAGACGCCGAACTGCCGCGAGAAGACGGACTTGTAGTTCTTGAAAATGGTGTCCTTCAGGTTCAGCGTCTGCGGTTTAGGGTTTAGAGTTTAAGGTTTAGGGTTTAGGATTTAGGGTGCAGGGTTTGGGTTTAGGGTTAGGGTTTAGGGCTTAGGGCCTAGGGCCAGGGTTTAGGGTTTCAGATTTCGGGTTTAGGAGTCCCAAAACACCTGCGCCGCAGGAACCCAGGATCTGACGAATTGCTGTTGCTGACCAGTCTTTCAAAAGGGAGTCAGGCACATGACATCCATTCCGGCACGACCCTATACCCTAAACCCGAACCCTTTCAAGAATTGTAACTGGGCACGAAATTGACCGCCTGAGCTGCGCCCATCCTTAGGGTTTCAGCGGTTGCTTTTCAGGTTTCCACACCCACAAATCGGAAGACAAGATGCCGCGAGTACTGGGGTTTAGGGTTTAGGGTTTAGGGTTTAGGACTTAGGGTTTAGGGTTTAGGGTCCTTGTCCACGGTGTCAACATGGCTCGGCATGGCTTTGTACCTACCCTGAGCTGGCCTGCAAAAGCCGTAAACAGCTTTCGCCAAGTCGGAGCCAGCAAAGCAGCAGGTTGGGATGTTCTCCCTTTTTCTAACAGCCCCTGAATAGGGATTATTCTAGTACCCCCTAACAGCCCCTTAATAGGGATTCTTATAGTACCCCCTAAGACAAGCCCTATAAAGGAGCTGTTAGTATCAGGGTCTCAAGCAGCAGGTGTGTCGTGAACCCCTAAAACTCAGACCCTCGATGCAGCCCCTAAACCCTAAGCCCGAGATCAACGCTGCACCCCATACCTCAAGACCCAAACCCGAATACCTGAACTGAGCCGACGAGGCCCCCGACAGTGGCGCTAGGACGATTCCATCCAAGAGGATGGGAAGGACCTGCGCAAGTTCGGGGTTTTCGGTCCTGAGTCTTAGGATTTAGGGTTTCGAGTTTGGGGTTTAGGGTTGGTTTCAGGGCTCTCAGCCTCTAAGCCCCTCTGAACCGGTGGAGGCTTGCGGATCGTCGGGCCTTAGGGGAGTTCTCAGGTTCAGGGTTGAACGCTTTGTAGGGGATTTGGGTGTTTCCGAAAATAGGGGTACCCTTTTTTAGGGGTCCTATACTAAGGATTATAGTACCTGGGGGTATATCAGGGCACTGAACGACAATTCGGCCTGAATTACTCCTACGCCTAAACCCCCCCTGGCAGGCCTGGCTACGGGAGCCAGTCCAGCTTGGCCGATGCTCTGCCCAGACCACGAGGCAGTGCCTGAGACTTTGCAGGATGTGGGATTTCGGGCATTCCGGGCTGGCCCTACACCCTGAACCCTAAATCCTAAACACTGAAGGGTTTAGGGTGCAGGGGTCAGGGCTGAAAGTTTCGCATTGTCGGAGAAAGGATCTATAGGGTTTGGGGGTGTCTTTTTCGAGGTTTGGAGTTGCAAAAAAAGGGACTTCAACCCTCAAAAATCCGAAGCCCTAAGGCTCTAAGCCCAAAATTGCTTCGTTTAGCATGCCTCAGGTCTGGCTGAGGTCGAGGTATCGGGTGGGAGGGGGGCGGGGAGAGAAGGAGGGGTTGTCTTTTCGTCTTCCAGCTGCATGCATCTTGCTGCTACAAGCCCCTGTCCACTGTACTGGCTTGCAGTCCTTGATTCTATTGACTTCCGATCCCGCGGCCCAATCATTGGTCGACGCAGGTTCCTTTTGTGACGCCCAGCTGCATGCCTCTTGCTGCTGCATGTGCTGCAAGCCCCTGTCCACTGTCCATGCTTGCAGTCCTCGACTGATTGATGCACTTGGCTGCTTGACTTCCGCTGCCCGTTCATTCGTCGATGCAGGTGCCCTTTGTGATGCCCAACGGACCTTCATAGCTGCGCTGAAACTTGCCAATGAAGCCACATCTTTTCTCATCACCCAGGAACTCAATGTCGAAAGTCTCCCGGAGCCCCTCCTCATCCGTGTGCTTCTCGTGCGTTTTGATCTGTGCCCACTGCGAAGTGCCCCTCTTGAACACGGTGAAGCTACACTTCTTTGAGCCAACATGGTCCCACCGGATCTCCGAAGCCTCCTCTGGGTAATCGCCGTGGAGCACCTGCACCGAAGAGCTCGAAATCTGAAACAGAATCGACCCGTTATGCGGGACATCGGCCTTGAAGGTGCCGTCGTACTTTCCGCTCGCCACGAGAGTCGTCTGCAAGACATCCGCGCCATCGCTTGCTCCGACCACGTCGCCGAGCAGGGCACGGTCCGGGAACAGCTGCCCCTTGATGCAGAGGTTCATCTTGACGGCTCGCCGGGTCAATGGCGAGGTGCCGGTCCCATCCAACTTTCGATCAATGGCTTCTTTGATACCGCGCACGGTCCACGTCGATGCAGCCTGGACGTCGCAAACGTGCTCACCGCTCAGCAGGTTCACAGCAATAGGGATGGTTCGCTCGGCCATGGCGAGCAGAAGGGACTGAAAACCGAGCAAGTTGGCAACTTTGGGCCTCCCGACCACGCCTACGGTTGCATTGGCAGGCACGGGCGGCGCAGCAGAGGGGCAGAGGCGCGGTTTAGGGTTCAGGGTATAGGGCTTAATGTTAGGAAGGTCAGTTGACAGTTGACAGGCCTAAGCTGGTTAAATTCAAACCCAGATGTTGAAGTCGTGCGTGGAAAGTTTCTCTGTTTACAAGTATATCTAGCACGAATATTACTAGAATACTCGAATTTCTGGCATTTCAGTCTTCTGGCAGTAGTCCGCCTCAGCAACACCTTCCATGCTAAATGGATGAAGGTCGCACGACGCAGTGTAATTGAGTGGTACATGATGCTCCCCCACCAAAAAAAGCCCTAAACCCTTAACCCGAAAACCTACATCCATCGTCCCAACCCTGAGGACCTCAGACCCTCCCTGAACCCTGAACCCTGAACCCTAAACCCTAAACCTTAAACCACCTTAAACCCCGTAAACCCCTTCAACCCTAAGCTCCCAAAGCAATCTGGGCCATCCAGCGTCGCGGCTTCTGAGGGCAGACGAAAAGGAGGGATGGCCTCCAATTCGTGGCAGCTTCCATTTGGAGTTTCGGGTTCACGCCTAAACCCTTTTAAGCCCTAAACCAAAACCCCACACCCTAAACCCTAAGCCAAGCCCTAAGCCCTAAACCCTAAACCCTTGAGGTGCTATCAGGGTGCATCAGGGGTCATAGAAGCTTGGACGGGAGAGCTGATCTACCACTGGACGGCTTGGGTTCAGGGTTTAGGGCTTAGTTTAGCGGACGGTGTGTATATACACATGTATAATATAAATAAATAAATGAATATATATATATATACATATATACATATATACATATATACATATACATATATATATATATGACAGCCAGGGTTTAGGGTTTAGGGGCCCTGGATCCCAGATCCTGACGCCCACGTCGTTTAATGCCCTTCGAGACGCCAAGCAACCCTATGAACCCCGGAAACCCCTACTACCCCTACTTGCCCTACAAACTCAATAAGCCCCCGCAAAAGCCCTAAACCCTCTCTATCAAACACTATCAACTCCATCACCCCTAAATCTCCGCCGCAAGCTCCTGTAAACCCGAAATATCTCGAACTCTAAACTCTGTACAAACATGTTCAGCCGTCCTAAACCCTGTCAGTCCACAACCCTGTCCAAGATTTGGAGAATCATGCCAGCTGTCTTGGCAGCCATGGCCATCGTGGCGGATAATGGCTTGGTCCCATCCTTGCGACGCAAGCGAAGAGGAACGCTTGAGCTGCAAGCGATCTAAGTCCAAGAGGCGTCTTGACAATTGTGCCTTGCTTCAAAACAATCAGTCAGGCGGCCGCAACCACGAGTTCACGTCCATCTTCGCGAAGCTGGCCATTTGGGTGGCACAGGCAGCCACGGCGAAGTGACTCAACCTGTCCTGGATTCGGCTTCGCAGCTTTTGCCAGAGCTTGTGCTGCAAACGCTTTTGTGGCAATGAAGCCTGTGCGCCTCAGACACGGAGAGATGCAGACACTTGGGCTCAGTGCCCAAATCCTAAGCTGGTCCCCCTAAACACACCAAAAAGCTTAAACGCCCTAAGCCCGGAAGCCCACACCAGGGCTGGAATGCCTACCATTGCCGAAGGGGGCGAGTCCCGAGGCAGGTGATTTTAGAGTTTGCACCCTAACCCTGAACCCTGAACCTTGAATCCTGAACCCTGAACCCTGAACCCTAAACCCAACCCTCCCTAAACCCTAAACCCTAACCGCCCACAAGCCCTTCCTCCCTGGGCCTCCGCGTAGACACTGCGGAGCGCCTTGGCAAGGCCCGAGCTCGGCCTGGCACTCCAAAAAAGGCTTTGAGGGTGTTCAGGATTTAGGGTTTGGAGCTTGGGGTTTAGGGTTTAGGGGTTTAGGGGTTTAGGGGTTTAGGGGTTTAGGGGTTTAGGGGTTTAGGGGTTTAGGGGTTTAGGGGTTTAGGGGTTTAGGGGTTTAGGGGTTTGGGGTTTAGGGCTTAGGGTTTGGGATTTGGGGTTTAGGGTTTAGGTGGTGTTTAGGGAATTGGGGGAGAGGGTTGTCGGGCTGTGCAAATTTACAAACCTACATCCCAAACCCTGAGCCCCAACCCCAAAACCCCAAACCCACAAACCCCCAAACCCCCAAATCGCAAATCCTCAAACCCCAAACCCCGATGCAGCGAACCAGGCAAAATTGCCCCAAACCCTAAACCCTCAACCCTCAAAAAAGCTGTTTTCGGTTTCCCCGTGCCTGACCGTGGCCGTGAGCCCCTGCCCCCACCCCTGGCCACCCCCTGGCCCCCCTGGACCCCCTTAGTATCGGACCCAACCCCGAAATTCATGAAACTGAATAAGTTTTTAGAAGTGGGCTGTTGCCTTGAGTGTAGGCTTAAACCCTAAAAGGAATAGGTTTGGGTGGCTTTGCCGCCTCGGACTGCGTGGGGAGGGAGAAAATGTTACATGGCCTTCCACAATCGGGCCAAAGCTGCTTTTCGCGCCTCCCGAAGCTTTCGAGCTTGTTCAAAACCTACCCTTCACAGCATCTACCCCCTGTCACAGCAAACCCTAAACCCTAAACCCTAAGCCCTAAACCCTAAACCCTAAACCCTAAACCCCTAACCCTAAGCCCTAAACCCTAAACCCTGCCTCAGCACGCTCTGGAGCTCCTCCAGCTCGAGACCCGGCACGGCAGCGTACGCGCCCTGGGGAAGGCTTGGGGATGACGGGATTTTGGGAGGTTTAGGGTTTAGGGTTTAGGGTTTAGGGTTTAGGGATTTAGGGATTCAGGGATTTAGGAAATTTTGGGGATGACGGGACTTTGGGATTTAGGGGTTTTTATAGGGGTTTAGGGTTTAGGGTTTGGGTGTTTAGGGGTTTAGGGATTTAGGGATTTAGGGTTTAGGGATTGAGGGATTTAGGGATTTAGGGAATTATACAGGTTTAGGGATTTAGAGATTTAGAGATGTAAATTTAGGGTTTAGGGATGTAGGTGTTTAGGTGTTTAGGGGTTTAGTGCTTTGGGATTTAGATTTAGGGTTTAGGGATTTAGAGTTTTGGGTTTAGGGATGTAGGTTTTTGTGATTTATATAGGGGTCTAGGGTTGAGGGATTTAGGGATTTAGGGTTTGGGGTTTAGGGATTTAGGGATTCATATATGGGGGCTTAGGGTTGAGGGATTTAGGGATTAGGGTTTTGGGTTTAGGGGTAAAGGATTAGGGATTTTGGATTTAGGGAGTTAGGGGTTTAGGGGTAGGGAGTTAGGGGTTTAGGGGTTAGGGTCTAGGGATTTAGGCATTTATGGCTTAGGGTTTAGGGATTTAGGGTTTAGGGCTTTTCGGTTTAGGGAGTTAGGGTTTAGGGTCTAGAAATAATGTCAAGGGCTTAGAAGAGGTTTTGGGGAGCAAACTCATTTAATTAGGTTGTAGCAGTTAGGGTCTAGGGCTGTGTGGGTGTAGAGTTTAGGGCGGTAGCATTGTAGGCTTGGGTTGTTTAGTAGGGTTCTACCCCCCGTCCCTCAAGACAAAGAAAACCAATCAAAACCTTACAGGTAGACTGGTAACGTGCTATTGGGGGCCTGCCCCACTCATGAACATCGGGTGTGCGAGTTCCGAATCTGGAATCCTTCTATGCCTTCTCAGAACTACGCAAGGTTGGCCCTTTTCAAGATCCGAACAGTTTTCCAAGCAGGATCCTCATGAGGGCAAAACTATCACATATCCCCAGGGCCGACCGGACTAGGTTAGATCTCAGCACGTGGGGTGGCCCTTCAGGATAAAGACGGGCATGTGCACACAAAAACGAGATGAAGCAGCAGTGTTGAACCAGGCAAGGGGAGTTAAATTTCACCACAAGCTACCATGATGCAAACACACAGAGACGAAGGACGACAAGCATGGAGAAGCGCGGTGTCGGGGCAGCCTGAAAACTAAAGCCCGAAATGCGCATGGCTTCCTCACTGTCAAACACTGAGAACCATTTTTGTTTTAGCATTATGCTTCTTATTCTTATTCTTATTCTTCTTATTATCACTATTATCAGTACAGTAGTATTATAAATATTAGTATTATGATAATCATAATAGTAATGATTCGTACTATTGTTGTTGTTATCATTCATTACTATGATGATGATTATTATTACTCATATTTCTATTCTTAAAACCCCTCCTGGCCTTCTGGATCGTGACCGTCAAGGGGAAGTCTTCCATGTTTGGAACCTGGGTGTTGCCTTCCTCAAAGAGCGGAACCCGAAGCCCACGCACGTCGCGGATCTCGTAGCGGTCACGTTGGACGCCCTCCAGCAGAGTGCGGATCTTGGCGCCCCAATCATCGAATGGGATCACAGACGTGTCCTGAGCGCTTGCGGAACACCCACTTTCCCCCAACTGCCCCTCTCCCGGCCCACGCTCCCCCCAATCTTTTCCGGTGGCGAACAACCTATCACCTTGGCCCATTGAACTTCGTGGCCGTGGCAAACCATCCCAGCCACAGCCACACTGCGGACTTGTCGGGCATGGCAAAAAGTCGCAATAGCAAAAAAACAGTGGGAATGGAGAAATTGAAAGCAACACAGGGGCTGCTGTGGAACAGGTTGTTCAGGCCTTCAAGCGACCCCGACATACCGCAACCAATCGCCCCAAGCCCTATTCATCCCTCATCCACAACGTGCCCAAAATCCCCAACCTTAAGCCGGAAATCCGAGGTGCTAAGAATCGCGAGGGGCTCAGGTTCTAGGACCTATAACTTCGAAGCCCAGTAACCACATTACGATAAGGGTACGTTTTTGGGGGTTGGCTACTTTTAAAAGGCAACCTGGAACCCCAGAAATGGCAAAAGGGTATCACCGGGCTACCAAGATAAGGATTAGGAACTTGCAGCTGCAGAAGCTAGACCCACGAGGAACCTAGGAATCAAAAGGGGCTCCCTTTTTGGTTTTAAGAGGCTTATACGGGAACC